ACCACGCTAACCCTAACATTAACGAACTTTAAAGGTTTTTGCTGCGCCACAAACCTGGCACACATTTCAGACGTGCCATGTGAATACCACATGGGAAAGTCCACAGAAACATTTTAAAAACGAAGCGAATCTTGTTTAAAAAAAACCATTAATTTTATTAACCCTCAATCACTATCAAGATACAAAGGATTCTTACTCTTATATAATTTATTAAAACCAAATAATTATATATATATATATATAATATCAATAACCATCAGGGCTTAATTTTTATTGATACGATAAAAACAAAATACAGGATAGAAATATTATTCAGATTCTACAGCCGTACTTTCTTTAAGACATACACACGATCCATGATAAAGACAAATTTGTAATTATATACTATGTTGCGTAAAGGTAGAAAGGTTTCTACAATTTATCAATCTCGAGCATTCAACTTCGAAGAACACATTTGATTGTTTCACCATGAACATGATGTCTAGACATCTTCCCATTTGACTCTGCACTAGCAATGCTTTGTCTTTCTGATGTGCTAACAAATGGACAGTCAAAGGGAAGTTAGAGAGTTTTTATTATAGGATCTAGTATTATTTGTCGCGTGATGTGATAAATTGCATAATACAGTAATAACAGAGTGTGACAATTACCAATGAACAAACCGTTTGACAACACAGTCCGGAAGGGCACGTACGTACGTACGTACTAATCAATTTTTTGGCCTAGAAATGTGAGAGACTGGAGTACTATTTGCCGCAAATTATGGTATATAATCACTACATAAGGTAAAAGGAGAGTATTATGTGGTATTTTATTTAAGCTTCATAATAGAAAAGAAAGCCAACTTGTATTTTATCACTTGGGAGGTAAGGTGGTGGATCAACAAATCGACATAAAATTGATCTATTCGCTTTATATGAATAATTATTTATATGATTATTTTGTAATCCAGTGATCAGAAATGAATGTTTTTATATCCTTGGTAAGACAAATTGAACCATTAGATTTTATTTGATAGACTCGTGTTGACTTAGATTTTATGTGATCTGCCACTTTACCCACCTCGTCACATTACCCCTTTTACCTTATAAAAGTTTATTAAATAAATCAATCTTAGCATATTAAGTAATTTAAAAGATCAAAAATTATATTTTTAAAAATTTGATATGAATTAACTTTTTATTAATATATTATTTTTTGTCTTACAAAATATTGAGAACCAGGTTTTAAAATTCGGCTTGGACCAAACCAGGGTTTGGAACTTAATTTGGAGGCTAAAACTTTTTTAGAACCTAAACAAAACCCAAACTAACTTTACAAATCTAAGTAGCTGCAAAGAATCCAAGCTTTTCCACAGGTTTATTTCGCATCCGTTTTTCGTTTTTATCATTCTCTTCCTGTAGAAGCATCTTATCCAAACTGTTTATCAGGCTCTGTCCTAACGATCGCCCAGTCTATAAGGATAGGGGGCAAAATCTTATCAAAGTTGTTATAGCTGACTACCCTAACTTTTCCCCTTCCCAGAAACCAAACCTGTCATATCAAGAAAGCTAAAAGACAATATTCAATTTAAATAACAAAGACATGTACCTGAATCATTTCACCCAATAAGCTATGTTCAATGCTTCCACTCCCGCTTTTTTGCATGCCGCAAATTTTACCGTTCCTATTAACCATTACGTGCAATTTCGCTTCAGTGGTGAGTTCTTCTAATGGTGTTGCATCAACAATATGTCGAGAACCAATCTTCGTGTAAGACAAAGAATAATTGATTATCACTGTTAATGGCCAGAGAGAAAATTTTCATAAACTTACCTTATTTAAGGTAACTGAAACTGGTACATGCTCCCAACCTTCGATCCTTTCCCATTCTTCTACGTCCTCCGATAAATCGAATTCTACTTCACCATCACCAAGATCATTTATAATTGCTTTAGGAACCTGAGTGTTAAAGAGAGCGGCTCGTGTGGTCATAAACATCGTATCCACTATATTACCGGCGTAATCTAGTACCTAATAATCTTTGATAAACAAAAATAACGTGTGATATTCAGAATTAAAATTGTAAAAAAATAAATGGATTTACCAAAGCGTCAATGTAGACAACCCAACAAGCTTTTCCTGGAATAATACATAATTTTTCGAGATTTAAGCCAGCCTGTGGACCATTTAAAACACGAGACATCATCTGCGTAAGCTCATTATTTATATCGTCGGCGCCCCTTCCTGCAAATTGTTGTGATGCAATCGGAGAACTACAAAGCTTAAAGTGACTTAGGTAAAAAGCGGAGAAATTACCTCTTACAATAAATAAACTTACCACTCTACATTACATACTACTCTTCCCCTCTTTGCCTTTATATTTGCTACCTCTTCTTCAGTTCCGTCGACTTCCACATTACCGATGTCAACTCTCACACCAACAAGTACGTCAGTTCCTTCTCCTAACCTACACCTAGCACTGCCATTTGCCTGGGTGATAAGGCCAGTCTCTAATATCACTTCTCGATAATCAAGAAGTCCTCTCCCGTCAGCACGAAGGTTATCATCGATACCTCTGAGTATATAATCTGCTTCTAAGGCTGAAATCAGTACTGGCGCCATTATTTTGAAAGTGTCCAAAGGCAATCAGATTATCGGTCCCGTTAGCAGGTCACCTGAAAAAAAAAAATTGAGTGGATCAGTTACACAACATAAAAGTAATTAATATATACTGATACCAAATAAACTATAACTTTCCAACAAAACATGAGTTCTCAATCTCATAGGCATATACGTTTGGCCGGTCAGGAGTGGTGCATGAAGGATAGTGGATGTCATTTTATTGAATTAAATCAAGATTGTGTAGATATCATGGGACTAAGTAGTAAGTATTAATTATTCACTTTTTCAAGGACGTGACTTTATAATATATAAAAAAAACCTTTTTAGGCAAAGAGCAGGCACAAGAAACGAAAGAATCTGTCGTAAATACACGGAATCCAAAGTTAGCCGCTGAGTTGCGAGAACTTTTTTCATTAATGTTAGCAGCAAGATCAAAATATCGTACAAAACTTCAAAATGATGCCTCTGAGGCGAAGATTGGAAAGGAGAAATCAATAATATGTGAAGAAGATGCTGATTCAAAAGGATCTGAGATGGAAATTGATTCTGGAGTGGTAGATTTTGATGGACAGCACGATGTTTCATCAGAGAAATCATATGAAAGAATTCGTACACATAATGCCATGAGCAGTAATTTGATTTCTTAAGCTGTTGCTTAGTCTGCAACCATTAATAGCTTTAATATATTAATTGGAACTTTAATATCGTCAGATCTATCAA